AGATGTGAAGAAGTTTCAGAGACTTGTAGGGAGATTCTTGTATTTGTCTATGACTAGGCTTGATATTGTTTATGCAGTGGGTGTCCTTAGTCAGTTCATGCTCAATTCTAGGACAACTCATCTTGAAGCTGCAGAGAGGATCCTTAGATACCTCAAGAAGTTTCTTGGAGCTGGTTTGCTGTTCCAGAAACATGGACATTTAAAGGTTGAAGGATATACTGATGCTGATTGGGCAGGGGCAGTTGATGACCGGAAGTCTATCAGTGGATATTGTGCCTTTGTAGGGGGAAAACTAGTCACATAGAGAAGTAAGAAGCAAAGTGTGGTGGCTAGATCTAGTGCTGAAGCAGAATACAGTGCTATGTCTCATGGAGTTGCTGAAATCATGTGGATAAGAAATCTGTTAGGAGAACTGGGTTTTACAGTTAGCAACCCTATGTCACTCTATTGCGACAATAAGGCTGCTACCAACATTGTAGCTAATCTAGTCCTCCATGATTGGACGAAACACATTGAAGTGGACAGGCATTTTATTAGAGAGAAACTTGTAAATGGAGAAGTGTGCACCCCATATGTCAGCTCAGAAGAACGACTTGCAGACATCTTCACCAAAGGTCTTCATCATGTGCGGCATAATGATTTGTGTGACAAGTTGGGCATGATTGACATCTATGCTCCAACTTGAGGGGGAGTGTTGAAATAATTGATTTTTTTTTGTTAGGGTCGGTTTGGCTGATTAAAGCTTTTTTATTTTGATCTGTTATTGTAACTTTACTTAGTAGGGGCACAAGGGTCATTTCCCTTCTTATTTTTTTCGCCCTATATATTATAATGAAGCTGGTGCCGCCAACACTGTTCCATTGCCTCTAAACCTTCTTCTCCTTTCTTCCTTCTTCTTCTTCTTCTTCTCTTCTCTTCTTTTCTCTTCTCTTCTCTCCTCTTCTGCTGTAATCTTCACTCGGATTTACTGTCAAGAGTTCTTATTAAGTTAAGTTTTATAAAGGTTAGAGGAGAAGAGGAGAGAAGTATCGAACTATCTTCTTTCTCTTCTTTCTTCTTCTTCTTCTTCTTCTTCTTCCTTTGCTGCACTGTTTCTCTTCTTTCATCTCACCTTTCCACATATAATCTGAGATTTATTTTTCTGGTATACTGGACTGAATCACATCTATTTTGTTGCATGAAGAAGAAGTGAATGCCATTAGTTTGTGAAAACGTTATAGTTTCTTTGTACAATATAATTGCTTGTTTCTTTCTAGCAGCAAATAAGAACTGGAGAATATAGGTAAAGAAGTTAAGAGTCTCAAGTAGGTGCCTTTGCAATTGATATAAGCTAGGTTAATATTTTTAGTTGCAGTTCAGGTACTAGAGTGATATGTTAGTGAGGCTTGTTTATTGATATCCAGGATGAACAGTTTTAGTTGATCCCAACTGTGGCTAACTCATTATTTGATAGCTTAACATGTAACAGATGGGGGAGAAGTGAATTGTGTTGGGTTTCATTTATGGAGAGTGTAGTGTAACTCCTTATTTGACAGCTTTTTCATCATGCATACTTCCTGTGTAAAAATGAGAATGGTTCTCTGGAGATGTATGAGAGCTTACATTTTTGGAGAATTTCTGAAGGGAATAACCAGATCTTCTCTTACAGGGACTAGAATCTCTGATGTAGCTGATATCCATTAAGAGTGGCACATAGGGCTAAAATGATGGGAGGGTTTTAACAATTTCACCACTGCTGACATCGTTAGATGGAATTTTACTGCTTCTTCATCCACAAGAGGAGTTCCAGAACACCAGAAGTGCGATCCTCCACCTTTTGGTTCCACTAAATCAAATTTCGATGGCTGCAGTTTGGTTAATCTGGGGAGTTCAGGTTTTGGTGGAGCTTTTAGGAACAACCAATTATAGATTCTGGTGGTTTACATGGAGCTCCATTCGGGATGAACTTGTCCTTACCATTAATGCTTTGGTACTTTAATAGTGATTAATTGGATGGGTAAGGAAAGGTCTCCCGGACTGAGGCATTGTGGAACTCTATATAGGAAGTTAAATCTCTTGCCAACTCTATGAACATCATTACCAGATGGGTACAGAGATCAGACAACTCTTACGCAGAATCACTTGCTCAGAGGGTTTGAATAGAATTAAATCATCCTTGTGTTCTAATCATCTGGGCTTAGGGTTCATCTAGTGTGCCAATTTTAGATTTATTTGTTCATTTTTTTTTTTTTTTTTTTTTTATGTTGGGGTGAATAGCATGGTAGGGCTGACTCTTACATGTTCATTTCACCATCAATAACTTATCAGTTCCTATTCTGAAAAAGGAATACTGGAGGTTCTTGGATTTAGTAAAGTAGGTATCACTTTTATCATCCTTAAAAGCAAATTAGCAAACAAAATATCTTTGAATTTAAGGAGGTAGATAATTTCATCATTTTTTTTATGAGCTATAGGCCACTGCTAAAATCAAAATTTGAACAGGAGTCAAATAGAATGGTTGCTAAAAAGTAAATAGGGGTATTTTTGAAGTTAGAAACATCTTATAGTCCTGTACTTCTCACAAGGAGGAATAGCCCCCACCAGAGTTTCTAAGGTATCATCTTTTTGTACATGCTTTTGATGGTGGCTCACCCTTCTTTCATAATGGCAATCACTTTACACTTGCCTATTAAAAAGAGGCGCTTTGCAAGGAAGCCAAAAATGGGGAAGAATCATATGTAGAGTCACTAGAGTAGCTGTGATTTGGGCAGTTTGGGAGGAGTAGCAGAATATTCCAGGAGAAGGTGAAAACCAAGGAGGCTATTATTTAAAATAGTGCACTGGGTGAAAACCATAGATTTTCTTAAGGATTATACAGTGGATGTCATTTTTGGGGAACAAACAGTAGTGGATGCTTCTTCCATGCAGAGACCCACCTTACTTGAGGTTTGAACTCCAGGCACAATAGGCTTAAACTGAACTTTGATGGCAGTTATAGTGGCAACCCAGGTCCCTCTGCAAGAGGTGAAGTGTCCAGAAACCATGAAGGCAGATTTGTGGCTTTGTGCTTGGGACGAATTGATCATGGAGACTCCTTGACGGCAGAAATCGTAGTGTCCTGTCAAGGTTTGAGGATTGTAGAACAGCTAGGACTCAGTGGTTTTAGGTGGAAGGTGATTCATTATTAGTTGTAGACTGGATGAGAATGGACAGATTAGGCATTTGGAGTCACAAACTAGCTAATGAGAGAGGTGAGGCGCCTAGCAAATGAATTGGTAGTCAGCTTCAGATGGGTTGGAAGATCAGAAAATGGCCGGGGTGATACACTTGTTAAACAAGAGTCTGCAAGTGAATTGGTAGTCTAGCAGACATCGAAAGGATGTCTGCAGAGGGTCTAGGAGAGAGGCTAGTCCTCCTAAAAGATGTCATGCAAGAAGAGCTCAGGACCTGCACTAAATTCCTCACCTTGGACCTTAATGTCACACCTATCCATCTTTATAGTTGCATTTGACCTATTAACTCAAGTCTCTTCTTAGCCACTTCCAGAGATGGATTTCTATCTCTCATTCTGTGAGTTTCTGGGCCTCCCTATTCTTTTTTGTAGATGGTGCTTTCTTAATGAAATGAATATTTTTTAGATTTCCACTGTTCTCACAGAATTCCTTTGTAATTGCCTTTATGCTCTTTTCACCGCTTTTGCTGGAGCCCTAAAATAAAGTGTTAAAAGGCATACTAAACAAAGAGGTTTTGAGAATGTAGATTTGATTAGTGTTATTATACAACCTAAATAATTATAATTCTTTTTCTCACAAGGTCATTTCTTAGCAAATCTTTTTTGAAAAAGATAACAGATTTCATTTAAAGGGTGGAATGTACATGAGGAGATAAATTTAAAAAAACATCAAAGCCCACTAGTTACTTGACATTATATTAGCACCATACAAACAGTCCCATCCAACCCAGATTTTGCTAGAAAGTCAGCTACTTGGGTTTCGTTCTCTGGGAATCCATCAGAAGCTACAGTGCGTGCAATAGGAAATCTGACAAATTTCTTCCATAAAATGGGAGAACTTCCAAGGTTCAGAAGCCTGTCCCTTGAGTCCCCTTCCACAGTGGAAGAAACCTCACAAATTTCTTCTACTGTATTTTTGTACATCTCTCTTTTTGGTTGAATAAAATAGTTACTTTCCTAAAAAAAATACTAGAAAGTATACAAAATGTACCACAAAATCTATACTGCAGCAATAGACAAAATATGCAACAAGCTTTCCAAACATATAAACACCTGCATATACAAAATATAATAAAGACATCTGAGCTGACTTGCTAAACCGATTAAATACCGTATCACTTCCTACCTCTCCCCGCCTGACTTCTTCGTCTTGTGCAACTAATCTTCCCTTCCTCGGCTACCCTCTTCCGTTCAGTGTTTTTCCCTGCCCATTGTCATCTCAAAATATCTGCTTGATTGTTGCATCATCACATTAGTGAGGCCAAATCTTTCCATGTTGTGTGGCTGCTCATTCAGATAGATTCCAAGGACAGCTAATTTATTCTGTAATAACCTGGCTAGGATGGAACTTTCACATTTGGGTTCAACTATTTCGAACGAGCCCTTTTGGAGTTTCTACTATTGCCATATCTATCTTTGTTTTCTTGCTGTGGGTGGAAGTTCCCTGGTTAGCAATCCTTGGTTGTGCTGTCCTTTTTATTACATTTTTTATATCATTATCAATCAAAAGAGAAAAAAGAAAAACATTGATTCTATCAGCATCATCAGCTTCATATTGTTTTAGTTTACTGCACAATCCTGACACTGTTAAAATCCCATGCTCCATAAGGTTTATATGGTGTATTAGCATTTCTTTTTAATCAATTCTTCTGGCTGCTTTATAATTTTTCTTCAATGTTTAGGTCTTTTAGATCATTGTGCTGTTTCCCATTTGCTGGAGATAATGATTCTTAGTACTGTGTAATATTCTACTGATTATAAGCTGTAACACTATCATTTTCATGCATAGGTTGCCCAAGTCAGTTCTCGAAGTTTCAAAGAAAATGCTAATGCAGTTCAGTCGGAACCCTATTGCTGCTACTGTTGAAAAAGAAGCTGGTTGGTTGCTTTTGGCATCACTAATATCCTCCATGCCGAAGGAGGTATTTAGATATCTGATTTCCTTCTTTTGGTAAACCTATCATGTAACGTTTATTATATCTGCTACTTGTGATACATGTAGGATCTTGAAGACCAGGTTTTTGACATCCTTTCCCTGTGGGCTGACCTTTTTAACGGAAATCAAGATTATCAAAATAAGCAAGCTGATGATCTGACATCTGAAATATGGTGAGCCATTTTATTAGTTTTGTGCCACCTATTTTATTACTTGATATGAGTTATATTGAAGCATTTGGTCAAAGAGTATTTTTCCCTGTTTTGCTCGATAGTAAAATGGATGAAAATGTAATGTGGAAGCCTCCTGCTGAAGAATTTGTGAAACTAAATTTAGACAGAAGCAGCCAAGGCAACCTAGTCCCCTCAGGTATAAGAGGGGTGTTGAGAGACAGAGAAGGAATTGGTCATTGCTTTATTTTTGGGTCTAGTGGGAGTGATCCATTAGGGTGGAATTGCTTGCTGTATTGAAAGAGATATAGATTGAAAGTGGGATATAGATTGAAAGTGAGTTGAGCGTGACAAATATGGAGATTGCAGGAGATTCAGAATTGGTGGTTGGTTGGCTGAAGGATCCAAAGTCTATAATTTGGAGCTTCAGGGAGGATATGAAGAAATTTAAATGGCTTACCAGAAGTATGAATTTGAGGATAAATTGGGTTAGGAGGTCAGCAAATTCAATAGCAGATGCTTTGGCTGCAAGAAGTTAATAGGGAAAGTTCCATCCTAGCCAGGTTATCGCCTAAGTACCTGTGATTCTTCTTTGTTCCTCCCATTACGAGCAGGAAATCACTCTTTTACTTGTTTATGTGGATGATGTCTTCATTACTGGTGATGATGTACAAGGTATTCAGCAGTTCAAGTCTTTACTTGGAGCTCTTCCAAGATGAAAGACCTTGGGTCTGCGACTTTCTTCCTTGGTTTGGAAGTTCATTCCTCTCCATATGGGCCTTTTGTGAACCAATGGAATTATACATTCTACCTTTTTTTTCTGATAGGTACATTGTACCTCAATCATCTTGCTTATCTCACTAACTTTAAGCAAGTTGAGGCTCCTATGGAACAAAGTGTGAAGTTTTCTCATGATGGGAGGAACTTCTACAAGATCCTTCATTATATTAGTGACTTCTTGGCAATCTTATTTACCTTACCTTGACACATCCTAATATTTTTCATGTTGTCCAATTTACTCAATTCATCTATGTAAAAATATATAGATTGTTTTCTGGGTCATGTCAACACATTAGACACACCCATACACATCAACCTTTGTCCATCTTGACTTGCTTCTGGCATGGTATCAGAACATGTCAGATCCTAGGATTTTGATGTTTCAATTGAAACTCTCTTAGGTTTGTTGATGGTTGTTTGAAGGACAGTTCATTAGATTGGATGAGCATTTTCTGCTTTTTTGTTTTTTGTTTTTTGTTTTTTTTTTTTGGAGTTATTTTGATATTGTTCTGATTGGATTAAGTTCCTGAGTTTTTTTCTTTGGTTCATGCAGTCTATTCTACCTCCAATTGTCGTTCTGCCTGGTAGGAGATTGGATTCCCTTTAAAACAGCAGGCTTTGTTTCACTCACATCCTTTACCATCTATTTTTCACTTATCTAGGACCAGATCTGATTTGGAGAGGTTTAGATCCTCTCTTCTTGCCCATAATAATGCCAGTAGCAACCATATGTTTTTATCAATAACTCACTGATTTCATTAAAATTAGAGAGAAAAACACAGGTACAAGAAGAGGGAGATAAACTCTCGTCTCACCTAACCAAAACAAGATGAGAAAATTACAAGATAGCCCAGAACAGAGAGTCCCTAGATGCCCCTTGTTTAGCTACCCCATCAGCAAAGGAGTTAGCACTTCTTTTAACCCAACTCATCTTCACCTCAATATTCTTGGTTAACCAATTAAATTTCCTCCTCTCATTGCTATAGTTCAAAAAATTAGCAGCATCATTTCTCAGCCAATCTACTACCAGTTTAGAATCGCCTTCTATGACCAATTTGGTGATATTCAGTTCAGTTTCCCTTTGAGTTCCTTCGATAACATCTGAAATCTCAGCTCTAAGACAATCACCCATTCCAATTGTCCCCAAAAAGAGAGCAATTATCACTCCCTCCTCATTTCTTAAGACACCCCAATACCTGATGGACCCGGATTACCCATGCTACTTCCGTCAAAATTAAGTTTGATAAAACCACTAGGAGGAGTCCAAGAGGGTAGGGATGTGTCTTTAACCGGAGCTGAACTTGCAATTTCTTTCCAATTTCTGAAAAAATATCCATTGAAATGTCTTTAAAAAGAGCCAAAGACTTCAGCCAGCGTACCACTCTGATCTGAATCAGCTCCAGAATTTCTGGTAGTCTTCTTTCCCTATCAGAGAAAATTCTCCTATTTCTTTCTTCCCATATAGTCCATCAGACAGCAGCCCTGAGACATCTTCACATAACTTTTCCTCTTTTTTTTAGACCAGCTAAACATGGATGGAGCAAAAAATCTCTATACATCTGGTAGAAGAGACCATCGGCATCCAAACAAAGATGAACACCACTCCCAAATGTAATTGGTAACAGAGCAGGAAATCTTTAAATGGCAACCAATCTCACCTTCAGCCTTGCAAAAAACACACCAGTGGGGAGATAAACAACTCGTAGGCCTCTTTCCAGGATTGCTTCCCAACAGAAACTCCCGACCTTCGGAGAAATCGGTTTGCACCAGACTTCCTTTGCTGGAAAAGGCTGCCCTAACTGACCCAATGGATGAACTAGAGCTTTGAAGTAAGAAGCACAATAAAAATTTCCAGAGGCTGATAAAGTCCAGACCCTTCTATCTGATTTAGTGGGATCTAAGGAAATACCTTCTAGAATGTTAAGAAGAGACAAAGTACTATTCAGTTCTGACTCCCTAACTGCTCTTCTAAAACCCAAGTTCCACCCAAACCCTGAGGGAGCTTTTGAGGGCACCAAGAAACTGGATATAGGCTTATTTTTCAAATCAGACAGGGCAAATTGAGAAGGGAATTGATCCTTCAAGGGAGAACCCCCGATCCAGACTTCTTCCCAAAATTTAATGAGGTTACCAGAGTGCAAATCATACCTTGTCCACAGAATGAAGAGAGGCAAAGAAGCTTGGATAGCTTTCCATGGAGAAGCTCTTGTAGTCCTAGCCAAAATTCCAGCATCCCATCCATTGCTTGCGTGCCCATGAATACTCTCTACGATCTTTACCCACAACCTCTCTTTCTCTAGGGGCCCGACAAGGCCACATTCCTCTTCTGAATATCCCTAACCCTAGGCCTCCACTCTTTGCTCACTAGATCCCACCTAACCCTATGATCCTTTTTCTCCTCACCTGGGTCCCATAGAAAATTCCTCATTAATTTTTGCAGCCTTTTAGAAATCCTCCTTGCATTTTAAAAACTGACATAAAATATATCGGAAGGTTGGCATGGGTAGATTTTATCAATGTGGCTCTCCCCCCGAAGGACAAGTAATTTCTCTTCCATGAGGCTAACCGCTTCTCAAATCCCTCTACCACCGAATCCCAGAAGTTCAGTCTCATTGGATTATCCCCAAGAGGCAACCCCAAGTACTTCACTGGCCAATTGGATACCACACGCTCTCCTCAAGATTCACCCCTACTATATAGCTATTGTCAAGGTTCACCTTTAGATTAGACATTTGCTCAAACAGCTGTATGCTAAGTTTCAAATTCCTAAACCATATGCAATCACCAGCTTCACAAAAGAGGATTGTATCATCCGCGATTGCAGATAAGTTAGAGGTACCCCATCCTTACCAACTCTCCAGCCTTTTATTAGGTTCCTACAGTCTGCTCTAGTGACCAGTCTTCCCAAGACATCTGCTATCAAAGTAAACAAGAATGGAGATAAGGGACCTCCTTGCCTTATTCCCCTTATTCCCCATCACCCACTTACACCATCCCTCTCCAAAACCAAAGTTCAACATTACTTGGAGCAAAAATGACCAATCCACTGAATCAAATGCCTTTTGCAAGTCCAATTTACATACCACACCCCTCTTCCTAGATCTTTTGAAATCCTTCACACTTTCATTTGCAATCAGAATTTGATCAATAATCTGTCTACCCTCGACTTTCATTTACAGTTACCTTTTTTGGCCTGCAACGGAATCTGGTGTTTTGGTTGATTTTCTTGAAACCTGGAGTTTAGATTGAACTGAATATTGATCTGTTAGCAGTGTTAGTAGTTGTTGGAAGAGTTTGGTGCCTGTACACATCTCTGTTTTGTTCTATTGTAGATAATAATATTCTAATAAGGGAGTTGTTCTACTGTTTCTTTTTCTGAAACATTTCCTGAGACTCTATTGAGGTTGCTGGGTGCTGCCTTCTTGTCTCATGGTGCTATTCACTGTCAGTTATTGTTATTACCTCAGTTTGAGTTGTGTTTTAACTGCTGTAATGGTTTCAAAAAACAGTGAAGTTCAGCCATTAGATTTGATGGAAATAATAACACCTTGTGGAAGTTTCATTCTCAGTTTTTTGTAGAGAGTAATGGTCTATGGGGTTACTTGGATCAATCCCTAGACCTAATGTCTCAGATGCTGTGGCTCTAGAACTATGGTAGATTTTTTTTTTTGATAAATGATAGAAATTTTATTAGAGCAGAACTAAATATCACATGATTACAGAGTACATCCAGTGGAGGCATGAGATGCAGCCCCAACCAGAAAGACAGATTACAACTGAGCCCTGAATAATTCAGGCTTATGCACCCCCTGTTTTGCAAAGAAATCAGCCATCCCGTTAGCTGACCACCTTTTCCATTGGACTGAAATTGTTATATCTCTGACCAGCCACTTAAATCTTTTCATATATTCTTTTTATTTCCAAATTACAGTTTCAGATTCCCTCAACCACCCTATTTCCAGTTTAGGGTCACCTTCAACTAACAGTCTTTCATAATTTAATTCTCTAGCAATCTGTATTCCTTGTAAAACAGCTTGGAATTCTGCAAAAACTGAGTCCCCTACTTCAATTGGACCTGAGAACACAGCAATAACATGACCTTCAGTGTTTCTAAAAACTCCCCCTATACCAGCCTGGCCTTGGTTCCCTAGGCTGCTGCGATCAAAATTCTGTTTGATGAATCCTTCATCTGGTGGTTTCCAGCCTACAACTGCTTTAACCCT